GATCGTCATAACAAGATTAGTATGTGGATACTCCGTTTATTCATGAATTACGTCGACTATTTCCGCTATATTTCGTTAGTATATATCCACAGGAATCTTGTGATACCTGGTGGGTCTGAAGATGCAGACTGGTTAGAGAAAAAAATCACACGGACTTACTATTTCGATTACTGTACTTTTAAGAACAACAATAATGATAATAATGAATTACTTGCAACTGCAGTGGTATTGATTTTATTTATTTATTTATTGTTATCATTATTATTGTTTATGTCATTATCATTATCAACTATTATCATATGATATGAATATTATCTATATGGAAGACTAAAAAAGTAATATTTTTCTCGAATTAATCCCTGTTTTCAAAATATATACAAATTCGAATATTGTTCTGTCTCTGACTATAATTCTACAGTTTATTAATCTATCTGCATTTTGATATATCTCAAAAACACTGACTGCATTTATTATACAATTAAATTTTTGTTTCTAATTAAAAAAATATCGTTAATAGTCTATTACGACTTTAAAAGTGAATGTAAGTCACGTAAATAAATTCAAACGATTATTTATCCCCTATTTATCAATGTATTACGTTGTATTGACTTTTTGAGCAGTGAAATAAGTGTTATACCTGTCTGTGTAACCTTATACCATTTTTGCATGCGTTTCATTATAAAATAACTTTTAAATACTCCTCAAATGGCTAAATGAAGAGCTACAAAATAAGATAAAAGAAGTAGGTGGCATTTTACCTATTCGGCGATGGGGCGCACTAGCATGTTGACAGCTGAAAAGCTAGGTTGGCACGTCTGTGTAGGTGGAGCATAGATTTGAAATCAATTGAAATTCGGTAGGGAAAAAATTCAAAGAATTGCAAGGAATTAGATAAAGACTGCAAGTTCTAGTTGAGTGTCAACTTTGATTTGTGGCACAGTGCGAGTTATCGACAAAATCGCCAAGGACACTCTTTAGACCGATTCATACAAAAATTTGGAGTCAGATTTTAGAACAGTCTCAATTTGTCAAAGAAAATTCTATAATCTTTCGTGAATACCAGCCCAGAAGTGTCAAGAGCACCGTTGGCCACAATTTACCTCGTCAACGAGTTATGTAGCATGTACGAGTACCTGATAACAAGGTTAACCCCAACTCCTTTAAAAATATGACATTTCTCATCAATGGGCAGGTTTTACCAAGATAGTCTGAAGCAGGTAGCCCCCATTCCGTCTTGATGGAAATCCTAGTTGGCGACTGCCGATCTAAGCCCCACTCCCTTTGGCTTTATTCGTTAAGAATATCAAATATTCATTTTTTTCTCCTCGGTTTAGTTTTATTTTATTTTCTACCATTGTTATTACTGAACCATTTTCAACAAACATTAACACTATCACAAACGCTAATCATAAACTATCGCACAAATGGACTGGATCAAATAAATGGAGGGAGCTATTGACATCCCATTCAGCCAATGAGAGTTCATATTGAAATATCATACATAGCTAGATATATAATTGTTTGTATGAATTATTCGATATTGTTACGATTACCAGAAGTAAAACAAAAATTCTCCCCTTTTATTTATGATATTGAAAAGTTCCCTCATACAAGACAAATGGAAGTGGAGCTATCTGCTGGTTTGTTCCAGGGTTGTACGAGACAGCTAATAAACTATTGACACTGTCCTGCATATTACGTGAATTGAGTGTAGAATTTCCTTTCCGCAGATGAATGTGCCTGATTTTGGGGGGAAAAATCGTGGATATCATTTAGAAAACATTACAAAATTGACGTCAAGCTTCCGATCAATGAATTCAATATCACAAATCCTATGTGCTCTAAAAGACATTGGCGATACTACTGATTATTTTTATAGACAGAGGGTAGTTCGAGTAAAAATGCAGGTAACTACCCGTGTGAGTCAGTTTACGGTAAATTGAAGATTATGTGAGCCATTTATGTAATCTAGAAGAACGTCGAAAAACATTTAATTAACCTGAATTTTCCCATTCTACTTTAGAATGAATAACACGGGCGAGGGCGTTGGGAATTCAGAACACTTCACTTGCCAAATAGAAAAGATAACATCAACAAATCGAAAACATACCGTGTCTGGGAAGAGATTAAACGGATAGATTGCATATTCGAACGCCGCCATTCGAAAGTACCCGCTACTTCCCAACGGAATAACATCAATCTACTTAGATAATTCGCTGTCAAAAAAGACTTTATTCATGACACACAAACCAATGAGTTCAATAAAGCTTTTAGCTGGAATAGGAATCTTGCGTGGAGATAAAAAATGTTTTTATTTAAGAAAGTCTAGCACACCGTCAGTTGGGCATTGGTAAAGAGGGAATCCATATCAAAACATCTTCTAATATCTAATATCCGACTATCAGAGAAAGACCTCATAAACGGAGACTGCTACCTAGCCAAGAGTCTAATGGACTGAGTTTCAAGATTAATTAACAGGCCTTAAGTGTGAACGCCCTGT